TACCTTTTTCCGATGGATTTTGAGGGGCATTCGTAGTTCAACATTATAAGGTAGCATCCTTATATAAAAAATTTCCTCATGATAATAAGGGGCATCGCCGTGCCATCAATATGTTAACGGTGAATATGAATGTGGGTCCAACCACATGCCATGGATTCGAAGAAGATACCTCATGAGCATATTACTGATGCCATGATCATATGGATCACTATAGTTTTTTAACATTGTCACTTGTTAAAAGAATCAAATGATGCATTAGGAACTGATATAATGTACTCTTGTAGGAGTGTACTATAGATGTTCTCCCTTATGTAAAATACCCATTTGGGATGATATTTTGGATTTAGACTTATGGGATCCAATTTAGAAGCACATGTGTGTATTTAAAAACACAATTGAGTCCTCAAGCACTGTGATATTAATGACAATTTCTTAGACAATATTTGTACAATAGTAGAAAAATATTTATATAAGGTTAATTAAGGTGTACTTTAAAATTCCGTCGAAAAAGGTTGTTTTTATGTTGGAAAACCATCTAATTGATCATCTCGATATTGAGATATATGGATATAGAAAATGAAAAAATATTTAAATTTTAAAATATAATACATCTTGCAATACATTATTTGCATCGTCAATTTTCAAGATTTTCATGCGTTTATAAAACTGCTTAATTTTAACAATTTATTTAGTATCAAATTTATAATTATATATGAAAAATGGATTCTTACGCAATCTTAAATGACAAAGTTTGGGGCTGCACCTTATTTTGATAATATAAGGTTGTAACCTTGTGCAAATCACTCACATATTGGAATGTTTTTCGAGTTGTATGTGAACGTTGTATACCAATGAAATTGAATACGAAGTTTCCCTAAGGCTAGCCATACTTTATGGGAATAAATGTTGAGCAGTCAATAAACAATGTATTTATGTAATGAGTATATATGAGATAAGGATATTGAAACAAACGAGTTGCAAGACAAATATAACGATAGAATTTGGAATGAATATATTCAAGGGGACATAATGGTAGTTCCAATTGCTGATGAGAAAATTGATTAAGGAGGTCTGGTCATATTTAATATCAACTCATAGCACACTAGTCATAAGAGTGATTTGGTATAAGTGGAATACTCTAAAAGAGCAAAGGGAAGGCTTTACATTGGTAGAAGTAGTGAGAAAATATCAGATGACTCATAGTTCGGCTAAGGGGTACAACTTTTGACAAAGCACAATGGTAGAATAATCTTCACGTAGCCACACCAAGTATTTGGAGTAAGGCTGGATAACGATGGTGATGAATATTGACGAGCACTTTTATTTTGGGGCTGTATATTAGAAAGTTATCAATACACGAAGATTATAATCACCCATGGCCATGAAAAGTGAAATCAACTGACTTAGAGCTGTCATATCCCACATACAATGACTACATGTGATTTTATGACATTCTTGTACCAATATAGACAATCTATTAATATATTTTTTATTTTATTTTTCTTTGTATAGTTTGGTTATCAAAAAGTTTATAAATGATTAAAAAAAGCTTATAAATGGTATTTGTTTCAATATCATGATCATATTTTATTGAGGCTATAAATAGTGTTTGATTTTTCCTTTTTTTTTAATGGAAAATTATCCAAATAGACAATTGTTTTTTTGTAAAAGAAGGTCACCGTCACTCTTCTCCATCAGATATCAAATTAAGTGGTTCGGAGATTGTTATAATTAGACTGAGAGTTAAAAATAAAATAAAATCTTGAACTTCACGGCATACCCAAGCCATCCAATTTGATATTTAATAGCTGTGAGTAATTGTGACCTCTTTGTAGTAAAGATACTTTCCATAGTATACAATCTATTTTTTTAAGAGTAATGATTATATAAGACCCTCCCACATCCATATATGTAGGACTTCAAATGATCACCATTAAATTTGACACTGATATCTAGAAAAATCAAGTCTCACACCTAAGTGATAACTTTTTTAGAGATTTACATCAAATTTAATAGTGAGCATTTAAGGTCCTCTACACGTGGGTTTGGAGAGTTTAGTAGGATCATTAATATTTTTTTAATTACATTTTTTTTGAGGTAAGTTGCTATTAGCTGTGAGTAATTGTGACATCTTTATAGTAATGATACTTTCTATAGTATACAATCTATTTTTTTAATTTTTTTTTTTTGAGGCCAGTTGCTATTTTGAGAATTTTATATCCCAAAATTTAGGGTCTCAAAAAAACTTAATGAGTTTTACCCAAGGTAATGAATGGACTATATGATCCCGCGGGAGCACATAAACTTTGGCTGCTTTTGGATATGAGATATGGCAGTGGCTGAGAGGGTAATGTTGGCATTACAAGAAAGATCTTCAGGACGCTATAATAGGGGTGGCTTGCTTTACTCTCTTTCCCGAAGTTGGAGTATTTTGAGAGAGAGAGAAGGTTGATAGATTTCTGATCCCATAATCCATTTGCTGTGCAAACCCCAAACCCTCGCTCTCTGAAATCGCTAACCCTAATTATTGTGAAAACGTAAACCAAAGTCATTTCCGAACTTCCTTTATGTGCATCATGATTCCTTTCGCTTCCACTGTGATAAGCCTGATTAGCTTCTTGATCAATGACTTGAATGAATCGAACTATGAGTCGGTTCTGAACGAGCTTATCCAGGTACGATATTCCATGCAATGTTAATTTATTTTCCCGTTACTTTATTTTCCATGGAAACGAGTTTTACTGTATTTTTTTATTCCATTCTTCATGTTCAGTGTATTATTGATTTTTTATGGTTATCTTTTATGCTTGTGGTGCTGGTTTTTTTAATGAAAGAAAAATCGTACAAGTTAGGTGATGTAGATTGAGGTGTTTTCCTTGTGATGTTGTGAACAAGGGTATTCTCTATCTGAAATTTGAGGGTAATGGATTTATTGAATTCAGTTTTTGGTTATTTCGCGAAGTGGCCTTTGTCACATGTACGAGCAAATGTAAAAGATGCTTAACTAGACACGAATATACAGTTATTTCAATCAATATTTAATTCATGCATGTCATTTTTGGCGGATTTTAGATGTCATAAAGGTGAAATAACAGAAATAATAGGTTTTGGTTTCTATGTTTTGTTCTGCCCAGTTATTTTCACTGTATTGATTTTCATCAGCATCAATATTATCCCGGAAAGCAGTTAAAACACTACAGACCAATAAGTTAGGCCAGAATTGGCCTCCTTATGAACATAAAAACTTTCGGATCTTGTGAAATTTACTGGATATCCTCCATGTACACAATGACTTCTACGTACCTGACTTAACACTTTTACCCTGAACCCCAACAACCTTGGCAAGAAAAGTTACCTGTAGCTCTGAAATCCAGTTCTAGTGAACACCTGGGTGGTTTCTGTGGAAGTTGGAGTAGAAGCAACCAAAGAAATACATTTCCCATTAGGTATTTTTTGGCCAAGTGAACTCTAAAGTGACCAAGTTTTGGCATCAGGAATTCCAACGCATTTATATGGTTTCCACAATTAAGATGAACTGAGGGGACTCATATGCGTAGAGAAATACTATTGTACTACTTTTCTAATGGATGATGTTAAATCTAAAAAGTCAAAGTTCTAATAGAGGTTATCAAGTTGAGTACTGGTGTAACACAGGTCCTGTCTTTGTTTTGAGGTGGATTCAGTATTTATAATGAAGTTTGATATTAAAAGAATTGGAGAGTCTGCTCTCAAACTGAATTGTTGAAGCATAGAATGGAGCATCACAAGGTTGTAGAAGACAGTAGATTCTCAATACTGGTTTCCCGCACCATGTATCAGCAGTTGGGAGTCATTTAGGGTACGGCATGTTTGACCAACGGAACTTTTGGGAAGTGGAAGATCCTAGTTCTGCCAACCGTGCGCTCCTGCATTTGTTACGGGGTAGTGGAAGCTCAAGCATGAAAGGGCAGCCTTCCTTGCTGCTTTGATAACAACTTTTATTGTGGAAGCGGCCCCTTCCATGCCAAATGATGGAAATGGGTCGGTTTCCACTTCTGCAGAAGCGGCTTTGGCAGCTCCCTCTTCCACTTAACAAACACATCCTTAAGTTTATGGGAGGGGAATGCAGTAGCCAGTAGGTTAATTGCGTGGACATTTAATTTGTGGAGGCTTGAAATATCTGAAAGTAGAGTTGAGATCAACATTTTTTAGTTGGGTTTGAAAAGTTAATAGAAGGCATGGAACAAGTTTATGTCAGTGAGACCATCAAGTCTCGCTCATAGAGGCTGTTGGTTTTTTGTGCACATCATTGTGGAACAAGATTTGTACAAAACCAAGAGTGGCACCACCGTACAAGAAGAGGAGACATACTTTAGAAAATAGAAGGGTGGAGTTAAATGCACCGTGCATCACAAGAATCCTAGGACATTCCCCAAGAAAGGGAGGAGTGAGAAGAGAAAGATGGTGCAGGAGGGGTTGAGAATGGGATCTAGTACTGGCTTATTTGATTTTTGTCTTGAATATTTTGACGTTTGGCCCTCTGGTTCAAATCCCTAGTTGATATCCCTAACGTAACAAAGGAGGTCGAGAAACTAAAGCTGTGGGGTAGTGCCTTGGTGGGCTGTCTTACCGAAGATCATGTGGCTCACCAATTCTTATAGGGAGTGGTTGGGAGTTGCCCTTGCCCTATAGGTGTTGGAACCAATGGATATTGGGTCCTAATCACCATTGTAAGATATTGTAGAGATGCTGAAATGAATGGCTCAAATGGTAGCGATGTGGTTATTTGTTGAGCTTATTTACCTATAGATTTTGTGGCATCTCATTAGAGAGCTAAATCGTGACTCATACCTCACTTCCACCTTACACATGGATTTTTTTACCTTGGAGATTTATCAGATTGAAAATGTGAGACTTGTTTCCGATGCTGTCAGTCTTCATTGACATTAGGCTCCCTTCCTTGGGTCACTAGGCCATTTACTAAAACTAACATTCATTCCCTGGGTTTCATCCGATTTATGTGCTTAGACGAGCATGTTTCCTTGTCCCAATCAGGTGTCTCCTGCAAGTTTTTGTTGTTCTACTAATAATGAATTGTACCCTTCTACATCGAAAAAGATTAATTGCATGTGTTCCAAGCATTTAATCATTGACATTCATCTAAGCCATGCATTGGCTACATAACCATTTAACCTAGTTTAACAAAACTTTTAGAAGAAAGCCATATTATTTAACTCATATAATATTTTTGTTTGACTTGTTGAAAAAATCGATATTATTGTTTGATGTAATTTATTCTGATATTCCAAAATTGAAATAAATTCAAGTTTTATTGTCATGTACTTTTAACATTAGTAACTGTAGTAAAGAACTACATTTAAGATGATACAGAAATTGAATTGTCCATCTGGACGGGTGATGATAATAAAAAGTCTATGTTAACTTCTTTATTGTAGGAAATTTTGAACCAAGTCTACCACAAAAGAATTTGAATGGGGCTAGTGTTATTTCTTGTTATGACATGTAGCTTTGTTTCAACAGGAAAGAAAAATAATTGTTGCTTCTCGTTTTCACTAATTTATAGCTTCTGACTTTGAATCATCATTAAATTTTTAGTTATATTTTTCTTTCGTTTTATTTTCTTCTATGTGTAAGTTCATTATGGAACAAGTAGCATTGCAAACAGTACACCACATGTATCGGGCTTGGGTTAAGATGGTAGCAGCTGGGTTTTCATAGCACTACGTCTCAAGATCCATTCCTATGTAACCTTGTCAAAATAAAATAAAATAAATTAAAACAGTACACCACATGTATCAACTGTTGGTTCTCGATATTAGATGGTTGAGATTTATTCCCTTCTTTTGGTGGATATTGATGGACTTGAGCTGAGGAATGCCGTTAACAGTGGACAGTTGAGTGTACATGTAGAATATTGCTTGCATGTTACATTTACCTTGCCCTGTGAATCCTTTCATCAATTAGTTTTTAGAGTGCAGATGATTTATGTGATGATGTGTACTGTACATAATGATAGCAATCTAAAAGGAAGCTGTCAGTTATATTTTTTTCAAGTAGTTCTTGATGCAAACACTTGTAGTTGTACATTTTTGGAAAAATTTAAATTAATCATGCTGGTACATGTTTTCTGACTATGGAAGCGCAGTCTGACTGCACAGCATTTTACTTGTTAAATGTCAGAGTCCCCTTTCATTCTGCTCATTGCACTACGGGTATAACGTCATGAAGTATCAAGGCTTATATAATGTCTGTCTTTTTTGCAGTTGGTTGATTATGGATTAGACAGCAGCATACTGTTGCTTCAGATCTGCTTCAATCAAGTAACATTTAATGAAGGAGACAATCGGACCATGCAGTTGAAATTGAATCTTTTTTCAGCAGTGTTTACATATCTGTTGGGAAAACCAAATTTTAGCACAATTTTCTGTGAATCTGTGAGAAATATAAACATGAACGAAACTTTTCTTGGAGATCTCTCCAGGGCATTGCATTTATCCATTTCTGAGAAAATTGGTATTGGTCTTGCCTTGTCAGATTCAGATGATCCAGATATCAGAATGAGAGGCAAGTAGATGAGTTTTGACTTGCGTTCAATCTTGGGAAGGATGTTTTGTTTATGTTTCTTTGTGATGTTTGTACCCTTTGGTGGCTATCTTTTGAAATCAATTCTTGCTGCCATGACAGGTCAAAACTTCTGCATCTCTGAGATCAAAGAATTATCCTTAAATACCATTGCTGGTGTTTCTTACAATCAAATTCAGGATATAATTGTATTTCTATATCAGAGCGAGGATCTTTCCAAATATGTGGATGGTTTCATACAGATGTTGCATTTATTACAGCTTAAAGAGAAGGCCCCCTCTGTGCTGACTCCGATGCTTATGGACAACTTTAGGGAAATTGACCCATTGAGGCAAGTTAATGTGATATTTTTTTTTTTTTGGGAAATATCAGGAGTTTGCCTGGCACACCTGCATAGACCATACAGGTGGTCTACTTAGGCTTGTCAGTTCTTTTTAAGTGACTGTTTAGCTCAGTAAATTTACCATTTTGACCTCATGACATGCATCTGGACAGAATTGTCATTTTGAAAAATTTATCAGTCCTTGTGTCTTAGTTCTTTGAAGTCTCTGGGCCACCATGGTTTGTGCAGGTGTTCCTTGTACTCCTTATTTTGGTTCCCTTCTCTTCTATTTTTTCTTATTCTAGATAGTGTAATGCATTGTAATGGTGATCTGCTGCATCATAAAAATTGTGATTTTCATGTGGCAGGGACCTTGATTCTTTCTATGAGTCCACAGACAATGACTTTGATGCTGTATTAGCGGAGATACAGGAGGAGTTGAGCATGGCAGATGTTATGAAGGAACTTGGCTATGGATGCACAATCAATGGTTCTCATTGCAAAGACATCTTGGCCCTTTTTTCTCCTCTGAATGAAGTTCGCATTGCAAGGATAATCAGCACGATTGCACGCACACGCACTGGCCTTGAGGATAATCAAGGTGCATATTCAACATTTTGCTCTGCTATTGGTAACAACTCAACGACTGATTCTTCATGGCTGAGCTCTTGGAATGTTGATGTTCTCTTAGATGCAATAAAGCAACTTGTGAGTTCTTTAAATTTCAGCTTTGTTTTTTTGTTGTCTGAATTATGTACTGTCCCTTTATTCTTCTGAGTATAATTGTAGAATGCTAAACTTTTTGAACAGATGATGATTCTTAACTTGCCATCGTTTACTTATAAATTTTATTATGTTACTTCCAGGCTCCGGAGATTAATTGGAGTTCTGTTATGGAGAACCTGGATCATGAGGGGTTTTATTTGCCTGATCAGGAGGCATTCTCTTTTCTTATGTCTATATATTCAAGTGCATGCCAGGTATGCGTTAATTTATGAAATCCTTTGTATGATTTAGCATGATTTGAGATTCTGGATTCTGATGCATGTAAAAAGGTTTTATATTGTCATTTTACAAGGAAAGGACTAAAGATCGTTTTGGATGTGGAATAAAATGTATAGGATCCGTTTCCTCTTCATGCTATTTGTGGGTCTGTCTGGAAGAATGCTGAGGGGCAGTTGTCTTTTCTGAGATATGCTGTATCTGTACCTTCTGAGATATTTACCTTTGCGCATTCTAAGAGACTCTTGGTAATTATTTCGGCTCTCTACTTTTGCCAGTTTTAATTGTATACTTCGATTTAATCCTTGCGTCACAATATTGTCATGCAGGCATATAAAGAAGCATCGAATAAGATTCCAAATGTGGGTGCAAATCAGGCATGGATATGTCTTGATCTTTTAGAGGTGCTGTGTGAACTTGCTGAGAGGGGTCATGCTAGCACTGTCCGAGCATTGCTAGAGTACCCTACTAAACACTTCCCTGAGATCTTGCTTGCTGGACTTGCTCAAATAAATGTATGGTTCCTATTACTATTCCGTTTTTTTTTTTGCTCTTCTTTTTATTAAACGCTCCCTTCTGCTGTTTCATTTAAGTGGGATGATTTGCTGTAATAGGATTTGCACGGTGAATAACGAATGCAAGCTTTCCTTGATTGCAGACTACATATAATCTCCTCCAGTATGAACTGTTTTCCTGTGTATTCCCTACCATGATTGGGAGTGACCAGAATTCTGTTAGTATCCATTATCTATGGCATCTTAATCCTAGTCTCACACTCCGGGGGTTCATGGATGTTCATCGTAGAGATCCCAACATGATCCCAAGAATTTTGGGCATTTGTCAAGAGATGAAGGTATATCAGAATGGGGAATACTTTTAATCTTGTTTAATTTTTTTTGTTTGAGTGTTATTTTTATTCTTGTTCTTTTGTTGGAGCTTACTTCATGGGTTTCTTGTAGATCCCACCTGTTTTATTGTTTTCATTCCGTTATTTACTAGTATGATGCTTCCTTTAGAAATTTGAGATACTTGTGCCTATCACTGCGAGTTCATATTTTATGTGTCTTACAGGGGAAATTTTTTTTCTCGTTCCCTGCTTTACTATTCATATTATGATCTGTTTCATGATTTTTCTTGGTCTGGAATATTTCTGTGTCCCTCTCTTTGAAACTCAGAACTAAGATCATTCAGTGGTAAGATATGGATCATACAACATAATCTTTCAAACAGGACTGGGGAACCTTTGGCAGATAATATCTCTGTTCGGCTCTCTTCTTGCCAAGGAAAGCCTAAGCCCAAGTTATTTGGTTCATGGAAGGAGCATAACATATTTCTTTTGATTGGAGATAGGTTGCTGGTGGCCCTTGCTGGAGAGGTGAATAAAAGAGAAGAGCAAGAGTAGAAGATCTTGATCAGGATAATATCAGTGTTTACATAGAGTTCTCATTAAAGCATCACGAGCAATTATTAGGTCATGTGGTAGAACGTACAGAAATCTATTAAGCTCGCCCTTGAGGTTGATCTGAGCTTTGGAACAAAGCAGTCTTGGCAGATTGCTTTTGATATAAAAAAATGGGACTGCTTACAGAAGTGTCTGACATGTTGATGCGGGACAAAATTATTCTTGTTTTTAATTTTTATTCGATTTCAAGGGAAGTATATTTTAATTTTAGTTTTAGGGTTTTTTAGCATTTTAGGGATTCTAGGTACTTTTTTTTTTTTTAAATATATTTTCATTTACTATTCACTGATTTCTATAAGAAAATCTTGGGCTTTTAAAAACCTGGCTTGGGGTGAGGAGAAAACCTCAGGTTTCTCCTAGTAATTGCTTGTGAATGGCTTGAAAATCTTCTTGTTTTTGCTGTTCTTCAAAATTCTCTACATCACAAGTACTATAAAAGACTTAAGGCATCCGACTTGTACAGTTAAGTGTTGTGTGTGTCGACGAGGTTTACCACAGTCAACACGTGACTTGACACTACAGGAAAAATGGAGTGTCTATGTAATACTGTTTAAAGGTTTCCTTCATTGCAGCTGCGGATGCTGAAATCGGTGGCCATTTTCTTGGCAATCGGGCTGTTTGTGTGTTTGGGCAAGTTGATGAGCTTGGTGAGGTTAAGAAATCTTGTGGGACAAAAGGTGCAAAATCCATGTTCTCTGATGCAAAAACTCAAAACATTTTTGAGGTGATTCATGAGTTCTGTCGTTCGAAAGAGGCCTCATTCCTACCAGTGTAAAGGATGCTAACAGTTGGATTGTGCATGAAGCTTTGAAGTTTTCCTTTTATTTTGTTGGGGATGTAGTGCTAAAGAGCGAAAATAATAACGGTAGATTAGAACCTCTTTTCCAGTTCCAGTTGCAATTCTTAAATCCTTTGTAAATAGAGTTGCTTGGAGAGAAGCCTCCTGTACCTTTTTCCTTTTGTGGGCAGTTGCCATATGAAGGACAAGTTTTGGAAGATAATTAATTGCTTTCTGTTCAGGGGGCACAACGAACTCTTTTGGGCTGGTGATCCGGTCTCATATTGTTGGCTTTTCCTTGCCCAATTTCAGTGCGTATGATGTTAAACTATGCTATTAACCAGATCTCTCTGTGGATATGGTATCTTGTTATGGAAGTTTCCCTATGGTCCAGGTGATTTATATGGCTATTGAGTTTGACATAGTGGTCACAATTGGTTTATGAAATCTGAGGCTTTTGATTGATGGTGTACGCATGCAACTATGGTTCTATGAGTGTATGGATGTGATTTTATCATTTCTTTTGACATATTTGAGAGATAATTATACATAGTTGTGACCATGATTTCTGATTTGATAGATCATTTTCAATAAAAACCTTTTGATTAATTTTTTTTTGGGTGAATTGCTACTGTTGTGCTCTCTTTTGTTTGGAGGCCCTTGAGGACTGTAGATTGCATTGCTGAAATATGTCTTGAAGGAAAACCTTTGTATGTTTACAAGGGGCTTATTCTCCTTGCCAACTTCTGTGAATTTGATATTCTATTTTGCTTGTTGCCAAGCAGGCAAGTGTTGAGTAATGTTGAATGATATCTAGAATGAGTGACAGTGAGCATGATAATATCCACAGCCCTGGAATCAATTTTCTTTTAACTCATCCTCTTGCTTGGGACTTGGGCCTTTTGCTGTTAGTAAAACTCCTTGCAGAAATAAGCACTTCACATTATATGATATTTTGATGGCTGATGACATCATTAAAAGTTTGAAACTCTTTCTGTTTGGATCCTTTTGGATTGGTTTATGATGGGAGTATGGCAGCTATCATTCCAAATTTGGAAAGTCTGATGCCTCATCCTTCTGTGCTTGTCTTTTCTTTTGCTAGTTACCTTGTGTTTGTTAATACTTGTGATGGTTTTTGACTTTTTGCAGATCCTTCAGACAGTATTGGACAGGACCCTTTTCCCTTTTAGTATTGAATTGGCTGTTTCTGCTGCCAGGAAGGAATATATGAGTTTGGAGAAATGGTTAAATGAAAATCTAAGTGCTTTTAAAGACACATTCTTTGAGGTATTTTTCATTGTTTCTCTGCTTCTGTTTTGAACTGATATTGTAATAATATTATCCACTCAAGATTTATGTTATCCTTAGGAAAATTACCTTTGCATGTGCGAATACTGAGGTAATGGTGGCGAAACTCACTATTTATCGAAACAAAGGTGATGAAACTCACCCAAATTTGTCATGCAGGCCTGCCTCAAATTCCTGAAAGAGAGAATACCCTATGATGCAGCTAGTGATGTGCCTGCTAATCCATTTCAACATTCTGAGGCTACCTCTACTGTTTCCCCGGAGATTAGTGCCATCTTTTTTAAGGTTGTTGTACTCTTATTTACCTTTTGGGGCCTGTGCATCTTTACTAATGTCAGTTGCATGCGTACTGAAAATTGTGCCTTTAACAGGTTCTTCAAACTTATGCTGGGCAGCTTAGCTCTCGCCAGCTTGCTGATGAACTGAAAAGATTGCTTGCAACTACTACTCGTGTCAATCCACGGTTGCAAAGTGGTGGAGTTGCAGATTCATCCTCTTCTGAGGGATTCCCGGATGATGTTGAAAAAGAAGCGAACTCATACTTTCATCAGCTTTATACTGGGCAGTTATCATTGGATTCTATGGTTCAAATGCTTGCCCAATTTAAGGAATCTTCAGTAAAAAGGTCGGCAATTATGCCACCTCTTCAAACTAATAGAAATATCGAAAAGAATTAAGTTTTACTGTTTTTAAATCTATGGCGATGATAAGAATTTTTGATATATATATATATATATATATATATATATATATATATATATATTAGTTCTGTAGTCGTCTTCTTACTAAACGTAACGTACTACGTTTTTACTACTTCTACGTACGTCGGTACGTACGTTAGTTTGTTTCGTTTTACGT